AAAAACAAAAACAAAATTAAAGTTCTGTTAAGATGAATATATGAGTGGATCCCAGGTAGGCATTTAACAGTGTCTCTTTAGAGGGCAAAAGGAAAGGCATGCTTCTCTCCTGCAGTTAAATGAGAGAAACCATAAGCCTTGAACACAGTGTCTACCTTATAGCATGTGATCAAGAAAAATTTTATCTGGTGCTGCTATGGTAACTGTTGTGACTAAAAGGTGTAACTTTCTTCTATAATATTCATCTTACCAAAAAGATGTATCATTGAAGCAACAAGCCTATGAATTTCCAAAATGTCCCCCTCCTGGGCTTTTGTATCACCCCCTCCATTGGAGAGCTACTGCCTAGATGTCTAAGATGGGGAAAATGAGGCCTAAGGTGGTGGTCCCTCTCCTAATAGTGTCCAGAGCTTCCTTATCTTTATTCTATCCTCCTGCCCAGAGCCACCATTGAAGAGACCTACTCAAAGGCCATGGCAAAACTTTCCAAGCTGGCCAGCAATGGGACCCCTGTGGGGTGAGTTGGCCTCTGGGGAGCCTGGTGGCTGGGACCCTACAGACACTGGGAACCTCCTGTGGGATGTACATCTCTTCACTCTTATGACATGTAGAACAAAGTGTTGTCTGCCACACTTATGGGGCTAATTGGATAGAAGAATTTATATCATATATTTACTCACTAGCTCATTCATTCAGTCCACAAATATTTACTGGGCACCTTTTGTGTGCCAGGCACCAGCAGCAACTCAGACAGATTAAAAACCCCAGTCTTGGGGTGGTGCCTGTGGCTCAAAGGAGTAGGGTGCCGGTCCCATATACCAGAGGTGGCGGGTTCAAACCCAGCCCCAGCCAAAAAAACAATCTCAGCTGGATGTGGTGGCTCATGCCTACAATCCTAGCACTCTGGGAGGCCAAGGCAGGTGGATTTCTTGAGCTTAGGAGTTCAAGACCCTCTGAGCAAGAGTGAAACCCCATCTCTACTAAAAATAGAGAAAAAGAGACAAGAAGATCTCTGGATCCCAAGAGTTTGAGGTTGCTGTGAGCTATGATGCTACGGCACTCTCCCAAGGGCGACAAAGTGAGACTTTTGTCTCACAAAAACCAAAAAAACCAGTTTCCTTCATGCCAGGTACATCTAGGGTGAATGATGAGATAGATATTAAACACACACAACATTTTCTCCTGGTGTGCAAAGTGCTGGGAAGGGAATGAAATAGAAGCATGAGAGATTGGGTATGTCTTCTGGAGTGAACCCAGCTTTCGTGGGCTGAGCCCTTAATAAAGAGAAGAAACTGGCGGTGAGGGTGTGTGAGAGACAGAGACTAGGCAGGTAGCTCAGGCAGTACAAAGAGCCTGAGGCAGCAACATGCTTGACACATTCAAGAGAGAGTGAGGAGGCTGGTGTGGATGCAGGGCCTGAGTGAGGTGGACAAGAAGTGTGTGTGTGGGGGGGGGAGGCAGGGAGATGGGGGCAAGGCCACAGGAGCTTGACACACAGGTGACTTTTAAATGAAGACATAATGTGGTCCTGTTGGCATTTGCAAAGTTCCCTGTGGCTGCTGAAGGGCAAAATTTTTGTCGGGAGGGCAAGAGTTTAAATTCCAGCTCTGTGGGTGGCGGCTATGGCTCAGTGGGTAGTGCACCGGCTCCATATACCAAGGGTGGCAGGTTCAAACCCAGCCCTGGCCAAACTGCAACCAAAAAATAGCCTGGCATTGTGGTGGGTGCCTGTAGTCCCAGCTACTTGGGAGGCTGAGGCAAGAGAATTGCCTAAGCCAAGGAGTTGGAGGTTGCTGTGAACTGTGTGATGCCACGGCACTCTACCAAGGATGACAAAGTGACTCTGTCTCTACCAAAAAAAAAAAAAAAAAATTCAGCTCTGATGTTTGCAGAGGGGACTTGGGTGAGTTGTGGAGCCTCCCATGCCTCAGTTTCCCTATCTGTCCCAGGCCTACCTCTTAACATTGTAGTGGGGATTAAATGAATTAATGTGTTAATGCTTAGCAGGGCCCAGAGCAGAGTAGATGCCCAAGTCAATGCCAGTCATGTTGTCTGAGGGGTACCCCACAGTGGATGGACCTTGTGGGTCCTGTGTGTGACCTCATCTGCCCCCAGGACCTTCGCCCCACTCTGGGAGGTCTTCCGAGTCTCCTCGGATAAGCTGGCACTCTGCCACTTGGAGTTGACACGGAAGCTGCAGGATCTCATCAAAGACGTTCTCCGCTACGGTGATGAGCAGCTGAAAACCCACAAAAAGGTGTGTGTCAGTGTGCTTGGGGTGCCAGCAGCTCACAAGATTCCAGAACTTCTCAGAGCTTTGGAACCTCCAGCCGTTGGTGTGTGCCTCTGGGAATTCTGTTAATTCTACAACATAGAACCCAGAACCTTGCAGCCCTGAACATTGTCAGACTCTCAAAATTCTCTACCAGATGTCTTACAAATTGTGGCCCTCGGGCTAAATCTAATCTGCCACTTGTGTTTGTAAAGCTAAGAAGAGTTTCTACATTTTTAAGTGCTTAGAAAAAAATATCAGAAGAATAAAATTTCATGGTGGCTCCTGTGGCTCAAAGGAGTAGGGCACTGGCCCCATGTGCTGGAGGTGGCGGGTTCAAACCTAGCCCCAGCCAAAAACTGCAATAAAAAAGAATAAAATTTCATGGTATATGAAAATTATATGACACTCAAATTTCAGTGGTGACAAAGTTATATTGGCACACAGCCATGCCTATTCATGTGCACAACATCTGTGGCTGTTTTTGCAGTACAGTGGTAGAGTTGAGTGTTTGTATCAATCCAAACACTTTTACTATCTGTTTCTTTACAGAAAATATTTGCCAACCTCTGTTCTAAAGTATTGGAAACTACATAACTTCATATTTAACATTTCTAGACTCTTACCAAGAACCAAGAATCTTGGAAAATTCAAGCTATAGACTCTTAGGAACCCACAATGTCTGAAGCTTATTATTATAGAATCATAGATGCTTTGCATGTACAGAGTTCCAGAATCTGCATATTTTTAACTCTCACTAAAACAGGGAGTTGGTAGTATGTAATACCACTGAATATATACTTAAAAATGGTTAAGTTATCAAATTTTAGGTTATGTGTAATTGGCCAGTATTTTTTTTAAAGGGGGAATTTACACTGGGGATGGTGGCTTATTATAATCCTAACACTTTGGGATGCCAAAGCAGAAGGATTGCTTGAGGCCAGGAGTTTGGCTCCTGGGCTGGGCAACCTAGTGAGACCCCTTCTGTACAAAAACTAACAAAATTAGCCAGATGTGATGGCATGCACATGTAGTCCCAGCTACTTGGGAGGCTGAGGCAGAAGGATTGCTGAGCCCAGGAGTTTGAGGTTGCAGCAAGCTATGATGATGCCATTGTATTCTAGCCCAGGCAACAGAGCAAGACCCTGTCTCACAAAAAGAAAAAGTACCTATTTTAAATGTTTGGGCCTGGGTATGATGGCTCACACCTGTAATCCTAACACTCTGGGAGGCTGAGGCAGGAAGATCAATTGAAGTCAGGAGTTTGAGACCAGCTTGAGCAAGAGCAAGACCCTATCTCTACTAAAAATAGAAAAAAAGCTGAGCGTGTAGCAGGTATCTTTAGTCCCTGTTACTCTGGCAGCTGAGTTAGGAGGATTACTTGAGCCCAGGAGTTTGAGGTTGCTGTAAGCTAGGCTGAGGCCATAGCACTCTAACCTGGGCAACAGAGTGAGACTCTGTCTCTGAATGAATAAATGAATTTTAAATGTTTTGAAATTAGCCAAATACTTAGAAAAGACCTGGAATCACATGAAGTGTTTGGAAGCCAGAAATTTCACAGTCCACTCATCTCCTCTCCTCCTCTCCCCTCCCCATCCCCACAGTGTAAGGAGGAAGTGATGGGTACTGTGGATGCCGTGCAGGTACTTGCTGGAGTCAGCCAGCTCCTGCCCAAATCTCGAGAGAACTACCTGAACCGTTGCATGGACCAGGAGCGGCTGCGGAGAGAAAGCACCAGCCAGAAGGAGATGGACAAGGTGTGTTCACAACCACCACCTTTTGGAGCTATACTATCAGAGAGGGAAAATATGTCCCACAGTGATGGTCTGAGTGTGATCACATCCTGGGTACCCAGAGGAGTCTACCTGTCAGGTGATGGAACCAAGAGAAAAGCTCCCATGTGTCTCCATTTAAACCCCATCTGTTCCCTATGCCTCCTAGGCAGAGACTAAAACCAAGAAGGCAGCAGAGAACCTCCGGCGCTCAGTGGAAAAGTACAATTCAGCCCGGGCTGACTTTGAACAGAAGATGCTGGATTCAGCCCTGGTAAGAACTAAGCATCTGTACCTTTGAAACATATATATCCCTTGGCCAAAGATGCTATGGGCCTCAAAAGTCCAGAGCCTCTAATACCCTCAGCTCCCAGGATCCTTTGAATCATAGGTTAATAGCCTACTGTTATCATTATTAAGATTATGACTTAAAAAGCAAAAAAAAAAAAAATTATTTTGTGCCTCAGTTTTCCCATCTGTAAAATAAAGACTAGTACTTGCCTCATAGAGTTGTTGAAGATTAAATGAGTCATTTTATGTGATGTTTTGAGATCAGATGCATAGAAACCATTCCATGAGCTATTATTTCTGTTATTACTTTGAGGTTTTTGAATAAGACAGGGCAGAGTTTAGAAGCCAAGAGTATCCTGACACTTCTTGGTGGCTGAAAGGACTAGGTTCTCTGAAATAGTCACCATCTCTCACCAGCTATGTAACCTTTTGCAAGATGCCACACTTCTGTGCATTTTTGTCCACTTAAATGTGAAAAAAAAGCAGATTGGAATCTCAGGATTAGGAATCAGATTTTTTTTTCAAGTTTCAAGGACTAGAAACCTTTTATTCCATTAAGAAGGAGATTTAATTGAAGAAATTTTGGGGGAGGGGTGAAGCTCCATTTCAGACATCTGGATCCAGGTGCTGAAATGGTATTGGCATTAAGTTGTGACTCTCTGCTTCTTATGTCTGTTTTTCTTACCAGAGATTTCACTCCTAGGCAGACATGTCCCCTGTGTGTGTGTGTGTGTGTGTGTGTGTGTGTGCATGCACACATGTATGCATGCAGCAAAGTGGCCTCCCACTTATATCTATCTCTTTGGCCCAGGAATAAAAGTTTCTTTTCCCAGAGTTTCAGCTACAGTGAAGGAGAGGGAGGACTCTCATTGGCTCTTCCCCAAATCAATCACTAAGATCAGGGGTTGGGACATTCTGACAGTAGCTTTGACCTTCCCATCTGCCCCTCCCCTCCTGCCTCAGCGCTTCCAAGCCATAGAGGAGACCCACCTAAGGCACATGAAGGCACTGCTGGGCTCCTATGCTCATTCCGTGGAGGACACCCATGTGCAGATCGGGCAGGTGAGTCAGGCTGGGTGTATGGAATGAGGCAGCACTGGGCAAGAGGGGCCTGCCAGTCACACACCCCACCTACCTGGCCCAGGTGCATGAGGAATTTAAGCAGAACATAGAGAACATCAGCGTGGAGATGCTGCTCAGGAAGTTTGCAGAGAGCAAGGGCACGGGCCAGGAGAAACCAGGTGAGTTGGAACAACTCTGGAGGGTTAGACAGTGGGGTCACAGCTATAGGTAAAGAGCAGAACTTGAGGTGAAGGAAACTGAACCTTTCTGGGCGTGGATTTCTTCATCACAAAATGAACTGATGACAAGTCCAGTTCCCCAGCCTGATCTTATGTGTACATCTCTTAGAACCAGATCCCAGTGAGGCCTTAAATGCCAAGCTCAGCTGTTTAGACTTCACCCCAATGGCCTTAAGGAGCCCTTAAGTATTGTTGAGCAAAAGAATGATTTGAAAATGCTCAGATGTGGGATTGGGGAGGAATTTAAGTGCAAAAGTTTTGAAGTCAGACCCAGGTTTGAGTCTTTTCTTCATCACTTGCTATGTGACTTTGGACCTAGGTCTTGACTTGTCTGAGCCTCAGTTTCCTCTTCTGTAAAGTGGAGAGGTAACAAGCCCTACCTAATGTTGTAATGTTCAGTGATTTGATACAAATAAAGGGCAAAAGGGTGTGCCTGGCACACAGTAGGCATTCGCTTAATGCTGGTACACAGTCTGTCCCCAAGTCTAGTCAACCAGTTTTCTCTGTCTCTCTGGCTCACCCTTGCTCGAGCTGACGCTTCCTATATGGATTCCCACTCTTGCCCTTTATAGGCCTTAGATCTATCATGTCCTGTTCCTGCTCACACACTGTCCATGGCTTTCTATTGTCCTTGGGAGATGAAGAGTCCCCAGTCTTCATCCTGGCCCTTGAAGCCCCACTGCATGGACTCATGATCCTTCTCCTAACCCAAGCCAAGTTCTAGCCAGAAATCCTGGAAGTGCCTAGAAGTAGCTCAGATGTCATCCCCTCCAACCAGTTATAAGGCAGCACCACCCAGCTGAGACTAGAACCAGCCCCTTGGCTTATTCCACTTATGTCTATGTCAGGCTGGTTCAGCATCTTAACTCCTGCCCTGGAACCTGACGGATCTTGAGCTCAGATCCAGGTGCCTTTGTGTAGCCAAGAGTGTGTTGCTACCCTTCCCAAGCCTAATCTTCCTGCCTTTAATTGTGTCTCAATCTCCTCTGTCTCAGGACCTTTGGACTTCGAAGCATATAGTGCAGCTGCCCTGCAGGAAGGCAAGTACGTCTGGGCTGGGTGCCCAGGCTGGACTGAGGGAGTGAGGGAGGTATATCTGAATGGAAAAGGGGGCACCTCCCAGGGCTCAGCTGCCCCCCAATCTATCCTCAGCAATGAAACGTTTGCGGGGAGCCAAGGCCTTTCGTCTTCCAGGACTAAGCCGGCGGGAGCGGGAGCCGGAGCCACATGCAGCTGCGTGAGGAAGGGCCCCTGCCCAGCCCTGGCCCAGACTAGCCTAAGATCCTTTCCCTTGCCTAGGCTAGCCCAGAAGTGCCCCACTTAGGGTAGCCCAGGATTATTCATATTTCAGGCTAGACTAGGACTTCCCATGTCCCAGGATAGCTCAATATTACCACTACAAGCTAGGCAGTGGTGGCTCACATCTGTAATCCATCCTAGCACTTTGGGTGGCTGAGGCAGGAAGATTGGTTGAGGCCAGGAGTTTGAGAACAAGCTGGGCAACACAGTCAGATCTTGTCTCTACAAAGCAAAATAATTAGCTAGATATGGTAGTGTACACCTGTAGTCCCAGTTACTCAGGAAACTGAAGCAAGAGGATTACTTGAGCCCAGGAGTTGAGGCTGCAGTGAACCATGATCATACCCCTGCACTCCGTCTGGGTGACAGAGCAAGACCCTGTCTCAAAAAAATAAACTTAAAAATATATATTACCACTGCCCAAACTAGTCTGGAATTTTTCCTTTTGTCAGGTTAGGCCAAGAGCTGCTTCTCCCAGAGTAGCCTAGCATTACCCCTGCCCAAGCTGGCCCATGTTAGCCAAGGTTAGCCCTGTTATGTCCCTGCTGAGGTTAGCCTCCACGTTCCTTGCCTTCAAAGGCCAGCCTTCCAGACTAGTTTTAGGGTTCCTCCCTTCCCAAGCTGTTTGAGAAAATCCCCTGCTTAGCTAACTCCAGATTCATCCCCCCTCCCCACGCAAGTCCTAAGATCTCACTGCCTCTAGGGCTAGCTCAGGATAATATCACAGCCTTGGAGCTCCCCAAGGTCCATGTCCAGTGTTGGAGGTTGAGAGGGGGTGCTAGATGAAGTGGGGGAGCTGACACCAACATCTCTTCCTCCATCCCCAGAGATTTCCTGGAGCCCAGTTCAGGGGTGAGTGGCATGTGAGGGGCTGTGCCGGGTTACAAACAAGAGGGGTTCAAGTCTATCCTTGGTCTCCCAAATCCAGAGCCCAGTTGGAAGCTAAAGAGCTGAGCTCAAAGGGCAGGTTGGAAGTAGCACAGCTTAAGTGCTGGGTTCACATCCCACCTCAGCTGCAAACTCCTGTGGACCATGTGGAAAGGACTGATGTCCGCACTGAGCCTTAATGTGTCCTAGGAACTTGCCTACATACTGGGGGAAAATGGTTATTTTCATCAGGGTTGTTTTTAGGTCTGAGTCAGGACTTGAAGGTGAGGTGGGGGTTGGGGGACAGGGAGAGATGGAATGTTAGATAGTGGGGAGCCTGATTCACCATTTGCTTCCATCCCCAGACCTGTCCAGAGGTGGATGAAGAAGGTTTCACTGTCCGGCCTGATGTGACCCAGAACAATATCCTTCTGGCACCCCCTGGGGGCAGTTGCTGGCACAGCAAGGACAAAACTGTCCACAATAATAGTTAGCAACCCTCTCTGTGTACAACCTAGAAAGAGCTTCTGTTGTAGACAAAGCAGACCTAAATGCACTCACCCTGTGGAGTCAAGGTTAGGCAAGCTGGGGGTGTGTGGGGATTGGGTTACCCCAGAAGGAAATTCAGAAGAGCTTCCTGGGGGAGGGGCACCAGTGTTAGGGTTCAGTAGCTGAATAAGAGTTCAGTTACAGGAGAGTATGTTTGTGCAAAGGCTTTATGGGGTGGGGGTAGAGGGTGCAGGTGGAGGTGGGCCATAGTGTCAGGACTTAGAGTGGCAAGTGATGGAACTGTGTGGGACCTCGAAGAGTTTGAGCAGGGAGATATGTGATTGGATTTGAGGACTGACTGAAGAGAACCCCATGTTGGGACCTGCTTGGAGCCTTGACTGTAGCCTACGCACAGCTGAGCCCTCCCGCTTCTCATCCAGTGACTCTGACTTTGATGATGAGGAGCCCCGCAAGTTCTACGTGCACATCAAGCCGGCTCCAGCCCGGGCTCCAGCCTGCAGCCCTGAGGCGGCAGCAGCACAGCTGAGGGCCACAGCTGGAAGCCTCATCCTTCCTCCTGGCCCAGGGGTGAGCGTGGGATGGGTACTCTGGGTGGTGCTAATGGATCTGGCTGGATGCACCTATGCCTGATATTGCCCCTTTTGTCCACAGGGCACCATGAAACGCCATTCTTCACGTGAGTAACCTGGAGAAGGGCAGGCTATGCCTGGATTTAGGTATAGGTTTGAATCATAGCTCTGACGTGTCTTGGGTCAGGCTGCTTAATCACTCTAACCCTCAGTTTCTTCTTCTGCAAAATGAGGTCATTATGAGAATTAAATGTGAGCTGAAAAGGGTAGCTGGGGCCAAGAAAAGAACCAACACCTTGAGACAGTTTGGCTCAGGTTCGAATCCCTCTCTACCTGATTTGCTGGTCACCTTGAGCTGGCTGGACACCTTTAACCCTTGGCCCCCTGGTCTGTGGAGCAGGGAGCATTGCACGCAGAGTGGCAGGAAGGCTCAGAGAGGTACATCTCTTGTAGGGGACACTGCTGGGAAACCACAGAGGCCTCGGTCCGCCCCTAGAACCAGCAGGTGAGTTCCTATGAGTGGGCAAGTGGGGGCTTTCTCCACCTTTTCTCCTCCCCTCTGTTGCCATGTCTCTGCCTGGTGTTCTCTCCCCCTAGCTGGGAGTCGAGGCCATGCTGCTTTTTTGGTGATCACTTATTCATTTATTGAGCTCTTGCTATGTACTTGTGTTGGTCAGGGGGTTGGAACCTGGGTTTTGAGACAGCTCTGCCTTCTCAGAGTCACATATCAGGGAGTCAGTTTTTTTTTTTTTTTTTTTTTTTTAGTTTTTGGCCGGGGCTGGGTTTGAACCTGCCACCTCCAGCATATGGGACAAGCACCCTACCCTTTTGAGACACAGGCGCCGCCCAGGGAGTCAGATTTTAAGAATAGCAAATAATAGTGGTATGAAGAAACTAAAGCAGGCAATGTGATGGAGACAGGAGGGGGTGACTTCATATGGGGTGCTGGTGGGGGCCTCCCTAAGGAGGTGACATTGAGCCAAACCCTGAAGAAGAGCAGGAAGTAGCTCTGAGGAGAGCTGGGGAATGGGGAATGGAGCTCAACACCAAAAATAGCACATGCAAAGGCCCTGAGGTGGGATGAGGCATGAAAGAATAGAACATTTCCCTCTTGGCCTCCCGGTCCCTAGCTGTGCAGAGAAGGTGCAATCAGATGAGCAGGTGGCCAAGAACCTCTTTGGGCCACCCCTGGAGTCGGCCTTTGACCATGAAGATTTTACAGGTGATGGGTTTAGGGAGGTCTTGGGGTGGGCCTTTGGGTGTGGCCCAAAGGGAGGATGGGTGGGCTGTTGCAACATTGGGTGGCTCAGGTTCATCAGAGGATAGGCCAGGTTGGGAGGGAAGATGGGATTCAGTGTAAGGGGGGACGGGGGGGCGCGGGTAGTGGTGGTGGTGGTGGTGGTATAGGATATGTGGGCTCCTCGGTCATGAGGTGCATGGACAGGATAGAATGGGCGGGACCGTTCATAGAGTGGGCGGGGACAGTGGGTGGGCATTTGTGAAGCCGTAAGCAACTAGGGGGCGTGGCCTTGGGAGTGGTCAAGGATGAGCTTTCCTTCACTTGGGTGTAGCCTGCAGGAGGATAGGTGGGGATCGGCGTGGCGAGGCCTGGATCTGATGCCCCCTTCCCTCCCCAAGGCTCTAGCAGTCTTGGCTTCACGTCTAGCCCCTCCCCTTTCTCCTCCTCGTCGCCGGAAAACGTAGAAGACTCCGGCCTGGACTCACCGTCCCATGCAGCGCCTGGCCCCTCCCCAGATTCCTGGGTTCCCCGTCCAGGCACCCCACAGAGCCCACCCAACTGTAGGGCGCCACACCCTGAGTCAAGGGGGACGCGGGTCGTGCCCCCACCGGACTCGCCGCAACCCCTTGCCCCGTCTCCAGGTCCCTGGGGGCTGGAGGCCTTGGCAGGAGGAGGTGAGTCCAGCAGCCCGGGTCTGTGAGTCTTCAGAGTCCTAGGGGGAGGATTAAGGGCCTACTGTGGGCATGGTCCAAACAGGCTTCTGGTAACAGCCAGGGCAAGGTGGACAGAAGCCCCCACCCTGGCAGGAAAAATAATGAGCTAGATATTAAGGCAGGAGATACTGGGTAAGGCCTCTCTGGAAAAGAGATATTTAAGCTCAGATTTGATGGGTGGTGAGGATGGAGCCATGTGACCATGGGAAGGGGTGCAGGGCAGAGCACACAGCCAGTGCAGAGGCCCTGGGGCAGGTGTATTAGGCATGTTTGAAAACCAGCTGGGGTGGAGATATGCTGAGGCTGGGCCTATAGATGTCAGATGGACAGTGGACCCTGAGTTTGTGGGAGGCTGAGCTGGAACACCACATAGCCAATGAATGACCATGTCATCAAAGCGGATGGGTGGCCTCCCAGACAAAACAGCAAGAGGATGGAGCACACAGGATGGAGGAGGGAGGAGGAAAAATGCAAGTAGGAGGAGAGTGGGACCCCCAAAATCAGAGGGACTGTGGCCACATGATGTCCCCAGCAGTGCTAGCAAGGGTGCTTGGCCTCTCCAAACCAAAGACCTGGTTGGAGCCCATTCAAGGAAGAGCTAAAGGGAGTGGAAACCATAAAGAGAGAGCAGGGCTTCTTAATAACTGAGCCAATTCTGCCCCCAGGAGACATGGGCAATGTCTGGAGACATTTTGGTTGTCACCACCAGGAGGGGGTGCTATTAGCCTTTGGTTGGGTGGAGGGCTGGGATGCTTGTTCAACACCCTACGTGCATATGACTGCCCTCACCACAAAGGATGATCCAGCCGTAAACGTCAGCAGTGCCAAGACTGAGAAACTCTGGGGTTGAGGGACCCCAGCCTGGGGTGTGGGTGGAAGGGGATATGGATGGGTCAGGATCCTGAGGATGCCAGAGATGCCGGGAAAGCCTTGGTGTTACACCATTGAAGGGTGAGACTACTTAGGCCCAGGCCACAGCAGGTGGTGTGTGTTATGCTCTCAGAGAGGGAAAAGGTCATGGAATCACTGACTGTGAGGGCGACGCCTATGGCTCAGTGAGTAGGGCGCCGGTCCCATATACCTAGGGTGGCAGTTGATCAAACCTGGCCCCGGCCAAACTGCAACAAAAAATAGCTGGGCATTGTGGTGGGCACCTGTAGTCCCAGCTACTCAGGAGGCTGAGGCAAGAGAATTGCCTAAGCCTAGGAGCTGGAGGTTGCTGTGAGCTATGATGCCACAGCACTCCACTGAGGGCAATAAAGTGAGACTCTGTCTCTAAAAAGAAAAAATAATAAAATAAAAAAATCTTCTGCTGAATCTTCCCTATAGCATGCCTGCCTCCTAGGCCTTCAGCCCTTGCTTGCATACTCCCAGTGACAGGGAATTTACTCCTTATTAGACCACCATTCTGCTGTCTGGTTCAGGGCTGTGGAAGGTATCTTCAATCCTGTCCAGCACCTTCTCTGTCTGCAGCCCCAGGACTTCAGATCAAGGTCTCCCTGAAATACTCCCATCTCCTAGTTTGGGGCTGAATTCCTGCCCTGGGGAGGCCCAAGAAGGCTAGGGCAGCCTCTCAGCAGTGCCTGTTCTCTGTGCTTGCTCCTCAGATCTGATGCCCACACCTGCTGACTCCACAGCCCAGGATGGCCTGGCAGCCCCAACCCGGAGACCTCGATCTAGGAAGGTGTCCTGCCCCCTCACACGCAGCAATGGCAACCTGGTAGGGTGAGGGGACATGAATAGAGTTGGGCTGGGGGTTGCCTTTGGGGTCAGCTTCTGGGCACTGCTCCTGGGGTACTCAAAACCCAGTTTATCTCCCTTCTCTTCCAGTCTCGTTCCCTGAGCCCCTCCCCATTAGGCTCTTCGGCCCCCAGCAGTGCCCCAGAACGGCCCAGCTTCTCATCTCAGACAGGACACGGTACTCGGGGGCAGCCGCCCTGGGCCTCATTTCTGGTCTGGGTTAGGGGCTAAGTGATAATAATAGAGGCCCTGTTGGGGAGGGCATAGAGCCTGGGACCTGTGCTAACTCAGTATGTCTGTCCTGCATTCCCTCCCCACCACCCCCAGGAGTGTCCCGGGGACCAAGCCCTGTAGTCCTAGGCTCCCAAGATGCCCTACCCGTGGCCACAGCCTTCACTGAGTATGTCCATGCCTACTTCCGTGGCCACAGCCCCAGGTATTCAATGATGGGGGACAATGCAGATGGTGACAGGCAAATAGGGCTCAGTGGGGGCTCTGCATCGGGGTCCAGCAGGGACAGCCTTCCGGGTGTGCTTCATGGCCTGTTATATGGTGGAAGGATTTGAACACTGAGCCAAGCAATCAGGCCCTTGTCTTGAAAGCAGTGAGAGCCACGGAAGGCATTTGAGCAGGGCTAGGCATTGTTGTAGACTCCTCTAAGGCTTCCATGGCCACTGAGCTGAGAGGAGCAAGGCTATCGGCCAGGCTCAGTAAGGGGTCGGGTTAAAAGTGAGCTCAGTGGCCAGGAATATACTGGCGTGGCATCTAGCAGAAAGGACCTTAAAGTCAAAACACCAGGAGGAGGAGAGTATTGGACTTGAAACTCAAGCTGAGGATAGTTAAAAAAACTGAACATTTTGGGTGGTGCTGTGGCTCAAAGGAGTGGGGTGCCAGCCCCACGTGCACAAGGTGGCGGGTTCAAACCCAGCCCTGGCCAAAAACTGCAAAAAAATGTGAGCTTCCTGGTAACCTAGGAGAAAGGGGAATTAGGGAAAGGGATGTTTCTGCCTCCTTCAGCCTAGGATATATTTTTCCAGTCCAGACAGGGACAAAAGAGGAGGAGGGTAGGGAAAATGATGCTGGGCACCGTCAATACCTTGCTGTGTCTGAGGGGTCTAGGGAGCTGCAGCCTGCAGTAGAACCAAGAGAAGGGGAGGATGAAGTGCTAGGCAGAGCCCTACACCCAGTCCCCCTGACTCCCCAGCTGCCTGGCTCGAGTAACAGGAGAGCTGACCATGACTTTCCCTGCGGGCATTGTGCGTGTGTTCAGTGGGACCCCACCCCCACCTGTCCTCAGCTTTCGGCTTGTACACATGACCCCCATTGAGCACTTCCAGCCAAATGCGGATCTGCTCTTCAGGTACTATGCATGAGCAGTGGGAAGGGTCTCAGAGGCTGGTGGGAGTCAGGGGTTCCCAACTCTGAATTTTCTGGGTGGCTTGGGATAAGTTGCTTGCCCTCTCTGAACCTTGCTTCCCTCCTTTACTGTCCCCCTCCACTACCCAGGTAGGGCTTTGCTGGGCCCAGGATGGGCCATGAAATTGCACCTTTAGGAAGCCCTTGGGTGTGGGTTGGATGGTGCCAACCCTGGGAGAGCATTTCCTGAGGGCTGGGGTGATTAGTCCGGGTCTCTGCAGTGACCCTTCCCAGAGTGACCCTGAGACCAAAGATTTCTGGCTCAACATGGCAGCTCTGACTGAGGCCCTGCAGCGCCAGGCAGAGCAAAATCCTGCTGCCTCCTACTACAATGTGGTGCTGCTGCGATATCAGGTGGGCCACATGCATGGGACAAAGCTGAAGGGGACAGGGAGGGGGTAACAGGGTAGAGGACAAGGTGAGCGGGCAGCACAAAGGAGTGCCAAATGAGGGGGTAGTACACAGGGTGGGCGGGGAATGAATCCTGTTGTGTAGACAGTGTGAGAGGGCATTGCATCTCCGAGAGCAGATGGTGCCCTTATGCAAGCTGGAAGAGGCCCATCCCCAGTACTTGGACTTCCTTGTTCTCAAGACTTTGTTAGAATGATTCACTCTCCTGCCCTCTGCTGGAAGCATGGTGTAATACAGACTCTGATCTATATGAAGTTTCCCAGTGAATGGGCCGTTTGGGGTGGTGGGTGCCCTGCAGGGTCAGGGTGATTAAATAGTACACGGTGTGCCAGGACATGATGCTGTGTCTTCTCTCCTGTTATTGTTCCTCCTAGTTCTCTCCTGTTATTGTTCCTCCTAGTTCTCCCGCCCAGGTCCCCAGTCCGTGCCTCTGCAGCTGAGCGCCCACTGGCAGTGTGGGACAACCCTCACACAGGTCTCTGTGGAGTACAGTTACCGGCCTGGTGCCACAGCTGTGCCCACACCACTCACTAACGTCCAGATCCTTCTGCCTGTGGGGGAGCCTGTGACCAATGTCCGTCTGCAGCCTGCTGCCACTTGGTGAGGGAATGTGGGAAGCCAAAGGAGACTTGGCAGTACCCCCCCTTCACTGTGAACCCACTTTTCTTAGAGCTAAGAGTGCTATTATTGACAATGAGGTCCCATGACATATGGACTGCTGTCATCCACATTGACGGAGGGGTAACTGAGGCCCAGGAGATTAAGTTGATTATCTGAGGTCACACCAAGATTTGAACCCATATGTCCACTCTTGGTCCCAGGGCTTGTAGTTACAGCACATGTTGCCTTCAATTTGTACAAAAGCTAGAACCCACCACACAAAAAAGCCAAACTTACAGTACTGAATGTGTCATCTAAGTATGCCGTGAGGCTGTATGGCCCTACGTCTGTTCTGTACCTTAGCCCCATTTCATAGATGAGGAAAGTGAGGTGAGCTTGGGGATCAGATTTGCTGGGGTCACCCAGCCAGGAGGCAGCTTAGCTGGGACCCTAGGCTCCCAGTGTCCTCTCTGGATACCTGACCAAGATTCTCTCACCGCCAGGAACCTAGAGGAGAAAAGGCTTATGTGGAAGCTTCCAGACGTGTCTGAGGCAGGGGGTGAGCTACTGCTGTGCATGAGGGCTGGGTAGGGTGGGTGGGGCTTAGGTGGGAGGCACTGATTTAAGCTGGGAGAGAATTACGGATGTGTTAGGGGGGCAGTGCACATTCAACAAGGCTTGAAAGACATGAAGGACAGCATCCCAGGCAGTGCAAAGGCCCTGGGGCAGAACTCCTTTGCAAACCACACACATCCCAGTGAGGCCAAAAGAGAAGGATGCAGGGGCTCTAGAGGAGGCAGATGGGAAAGACAGAGTCTGCAGATCAAAGGATCTCATGCACAGGGTGAGGAGAAACCAAAATCACAGTGTGGCTGAGGCTGGTGCTAGGGCACAGCTGACCTCAAGCCTCTTTAGGCTCTGGCCGCCTCTCCGCCAGCTGGGAGCCGCTCTCCGGGCCCAGTACACCCAGCCCCGTGGCTGCACAGTTCACCAGTGAGGGTGCCACTCTGTCAGGCGTGGACCTGGAACTGGTGGGCAGTGGCTACCGCATGTCACTGGTAAAGAGAAGGTTCGCCACAGGTACTGGTCTGCCCTGCCCCTGCACAACCCCAGGAGGAGTTGGGACCATGATGGGGAGTAGGGGGGCTGGGAGCAAGCACTACCTCCTGCTTCTGCCAGGATGTGGGGAGGGATTTGGGCATGGGGCTGTTTGAGAAGGATAGGTGGGTGTCAGGACCAGGAGACCCAGGATGGGAAATGCACAGGTGGGCAGGGGGGTGGGAGTCAGGGCTCCAATGGGAGGAGACAAGAAGAAAGATGCATGTACCTGGGGCTGGCCTTCAGAGGGTATAAGGGAGTGAGCCACA